GTTCTGAACTTTAGATTCTGGAAGAATGAATCCAGAACCACATATTTCGGGTCACAGAATCTTGCAGATGTCTCCTTTCTCCTTTTTCCAGGCAGTGTCTATGGGCGTGGACCTAAAATTCCTGGCCAATGCCACCAAAGGGGATCGCTGGTCTCGACCCAGGCTATGTCACATCCAAAAACAGCCAAAGCATGGCCTAGGAATGACTATTGTCTCAGTCGATGGTATTTCTTTTGCTGTCACTATCTGTGACAAGTGCTAACTACTCACAATCACAAACAGCTCCCCTGAAGTCACTGTACCTTCTAACTATTTTACAAGAAAGCCAAGAAGTTCCAGTGCTAAAGTTCAAACTCAGTTTAGATGAACAGTTTCCCCTGGTTCTAGTCTATGTATCATTAGGACATAGACCAGAACCATCAAATCACAAAAGTGATCTAATGGTTCCCAAAATGTGCAACTATTTAATTATTTCTGCTGATTACTTATAATATACAACAGTTTTGTTTTTTCTTTCATCAAGCATTATTGAGTAGATTTTGACTGTGGACAGACTGTGGATGTCTCAACAGGTGAAAAGAATCAATATATGGTGAGAACAGTTATTGATGGTCCAGCAGAGAAAGCGGGTATCTTCAGTGGTGACAGACTGATCTGGATTAATGGACTGATGGTGTCCACTCTCAGATACTCAGCTCTCATCAGAACTGTACGGATCCTCTTCTCTCAGTCAGAATTGATGTGTGTGCTCTGTTACACTGAATGTGCATTACTGTCTGGTGTGTTTGGCCCTCAGGTGAAGAAGAGTGGGGATTCAGTGACAGTGCTTGTTATTGACAGTGACAGTGAGTCATGCTATATCAGAAGGAAAATTCCCATCATGCCTGTGGTGGCACAAAGCTGCAGCCTCCCCCACAAAGCTAAGACCATGAATCTGGTGAAGGGAAGTGATGGATATGGCTTCCTGTTGAGACAAGAAAAGCTGGCAAGCACACAACAAAAAGGTGAGAGACATATTAATGGAAAGTTTATGAAAGGATATAGGATCCCACTTTATTTTCAATTGAGCTGATTTCAATTCAGCTTTATTTATATAGTACGAAGCCCCGCAGGGGACATGGGAGAAAAAAAAATTAAGACGGAGCTTTGCGAGATCTCGCAAAACTTTTGCGAGATCCCGAGTTTGTTTTGCGAGAGTTCACAAAAGTTTTGCGAGATCCCGAGTTTGTTTTGCGAGATCTCGCAAAACTTTTGTGGGCCAGTGGACACTTTTTCAATAATGAGGATGTAGACATCATGGACAGGAAAGAACGCTGGTTTGAGCAGGGAATCAAGGAGGCCATTTATGTGAAAAGGGGAGGCACAAGGATACATCTGTCACCATCTCACAATGCTTTGCTTGCAGCCATTCTTCAACTCTCTGTGAATGGTACTCATGGCCATTGATCAATGATGAATGGTCTTGTTGATCAATGGTCATGACAATTTGCATATTAATGATCAAGAAACTGACCTTGACAGTCCATTGTTCATCAGTGGTGCTAGTTTCAGTCACTGTGCAAAGGTACTGTGTATAAGGTTGGGGAAACCTGCAGTCAGCTGAGACTGATGAAGTCACTTGGATCAGTGATAAAACCTTTCTCCCACTGAAATCGCTACATCCAGATGAACAGAATCAACTTTTGGGGATTTACTTACCTGGATGATTGAGCATGCATCAGGACATCAGAAAGCTTGCTTATCAAGTCGCAGTAACAGATAATATCAAACACCATGGGATGAGAAACAGATGGCAGGGCCTAACTGGTTTATAAGGTTTGTGAAGCTGAACCCCAGCTGGGGCGGGGGTGGGCACTTAAATGATACTTATCTAACTAACCTACTCTGAGCTAATGCTGATTTTGTTCTAATCTTTGAGAAGAAAAACACTGGAGAATATGAGGACACCTTTGCCACCGCTGTCCTTATCTCTTCCGTGTTGCTATAACCCAATAGGAGAAAGCCAAGTCCAGTAGGATACAATGGAAATCGAAATCTTCTAAAATATATACTCTAACAAGACAAAAATGAGCAGAGAAAAAGCCAAAAATCCTAAATCCAATTAAAGCTGGAAGCAGCTTTGGAAGGGCCCTCGCACCCAGCCATGCCCAACAGGTGGCGATGGAGATTACCGTTCAATCTAATGTCACACTCAAGCATATAATGTATTGCACCACCAGTCAAAATGTCATCTAGATCAATGACGATTTTAGCTTTTTGTACACTTCCTCTTTCCACAAAGTGGCGCTCTAACCATTGCTGACAAATGGCACATCAGTCCATTTGAGGCACGACTGTCATAGTGCCTGTAAAGTGTGAGAGGGATTGGACAATGTGTCTTTGAGTTATAGCAGTTTTGTAATTCTTGGCAAATGATTGAAACTCGACGTGCGGCCACGACCACCCGTTTCACGAAACGTGAAAAGCTTCGCATTTTAACATGACTGAGGTCTCTTGATTCCACTCAGCGCAGATTATGTTGATCTGGTGAAATTCCAAGGATATGTTCATTAGAGTACGAGAAAGAAAAAGAAAAAAAAAACACGGCTCGCAATAAGTGGCCAGCTCGCGATAAGGGGCCGGCTCGTGTCGTTCGCGTCAAAGATCCGGCTCCAAGAGCCATTTTGTTCGCGACCGACACATCACTACATTGGAGGTGTGTGCCATATTTAGTGACTTTTCAAGCTTCCCAACCCACTGTCAAAAGCTTAGAAGAGTTAGAAGAGAGAGGCCTAATGTTTAATAATCCACATTCAACTGTTTTACTCTTTGGCGCAGCTGTGGATATTCTATTGTTCTTTCTTTGGGATTTTTTTATGCTTAAATTGTTTGATGACAGGAGAAGAGAAGCTGCAGAGAGATGTGTAAGACTGTAAGTCTGCTTCCTGGTCCCAATTCTGGATAGTCACATTTTGGCAGGTTTAATAAATTTGGCCATATTTTGAGAAACCTAGAGCTGCTCTGTCCAAAGTGGGAAGGATACTGTTGCACCTAATGGTCTTACCTATAAAACCCAAATTGTTTTTTGGAAACGACTCAGACAGACAGCAGTTAAGGAGAACATGCAGCTAAACATGTCACTCCTGATCTGATTGGGGAGGGGACCAGAGAAAAATACATAGTCTGAGATTGTTTAGCAAAGTTACACACCAATTTAATATTAGTTTTAGTGATCTACGATTGATGTAACCAGGTGTCATTGCTGCTAACATGAATTCTAATTTTACAAAATCTACCTTTACATTTAGCCAGCAACTTCAGGGTTCCTTCAGTCTCACCTGCTCTGGCACCTGGAACAGAATTGCCAATAAACAGAGTTTGTTCCTGGCCTGAAGTTAGATTGGCTATAGGGATTTTCAAGGGTGCGGAGCCAGGTTTCCAATTCAGTGATCCTGACCTTCAGAGCAGTAAACAGGCTTTATTTAATTCAAGTATTGTACAACGAGGCCAAAGAGTAGCTAAACATCTCACAGACTGAGCAGGAAGATGCAGGAAGAACAGTTGAAGAAGCCATGTTGCTAGCAAGCCAGCTACGAGCTAAGCTAAACTAGCAAATACCTAGACACAGTAAATGAATACTGTAAATATAATTAGGGCTCAGTAGTTGGGCGTCTGCCATTTTTTCTGTTATTTTTTCTCTGATGCTCTTCAGTTCCATTCTTAGAAAGCACAAAACTGCTTTCCTTTGTTCCCTCTTCATGTGAATATGGAAGGATGTCTACTTTATACAGACTTGCATACAAACTGAGTGTCTTGAGGAACTAAAAGCACTGACAGCTCTGAACTTACTGAATTATAATGAAACATAGGTTATTGTATTTGGTCCTGCTGTTGCACTGTTGGGTTTTTTCCTGTACACATGGACCCTAGACAGTAATTTTAGATGTGACAGTCTAAAAGTCTAAAATTACTGTGGATTTCTGTGCAGTGGTGTAATGCAGTTTCTTTCAGCTGAGGCAACTGATAAAGATAAAACAAAAACATTGTGTTGAAAGATCACTTTAAAATAATGCCTTTATGACAGCTCGGTTAGATTACTGCATCTCTTTGTGTTTGGGAGGTTGCTGTAGCACAGGAGGAAGAGCAGGTCATCTACCAGGGCCATCTATAGGGTTTTGAATGCTTACAAAGAGTAGAACAGTGCTATACAAGAACCAGTCCATTTGGTGCTAGCCAGTCCTCCCTGCAGCTGGTGCCACATGACTTTTAACTGGAACATATAAGAGAGACTATATTACTCTGGTTCTTAAAGCCCTTAAATTCATCCTACTTCTCTGAGCTAATGCACTTGTATTCCCGTCCTGTGCCCTTAGTTCAGTTCACCATCTGCAAGTACACAGTGGACGTTCAAGAGGGACAGGTCTTTTCCCATTGCAGCTCACAAATTGCGGAAAGTACACATTAGACTGACTTGTTAAGACCCACTTCTACTTAGCTTTCAACCCACTGTGACATGTTGATTTTATTAACTCATGTTTAATTGTGTTTTGTACTGTTATTCATGCTTTTATTTTGTCCGGTACTTTTGTTTAATATTACAATTATTGTAATGCTTTTATTCCTACGTTCAACACTTTAAAAACAGAAAACACTAAATGGCTAAAGCAACACTAAAGCAACACTAAAGCAACACTAAACACTAAAGCAACTTTATAAAAAAGTTGCTTTTCTTTATGCCTCTGATGACTGATCTTCGATCTCATTAGGATAGTGTGCAGTGGGACACTTGGAGGGCAGACTGTCAGCTGCCCAACTAATCAGAATTAGAAGTCATACTTTTGTTTCCTTTACTGTAATTCACTGCTGGGTGGGCGAGACAGGCTGTTTGGAAGATGGAGCTAAGCCTTGCCCAGGCTTAACTATCTATACAAAGTAAATCAAGATGTAATCCAGATGTAATCAATTCATATATTTCTCAAAGTTAGGAATATATAAATATATTTCAGGAAACAGTAATAAATCTAATAATAATCTTCTGTGACCCTGCAGTTCATGTGCTGAGAGAAGTGGATGTGGGGAGTCCAGCTCAGGGTGCAGGAATGGAGGATGGAGACCTGCTGCTTGCTGTCAATGGGGAACCTATTGAGTCCATGGAGCATGAAGACATTGTTAGAAAGATTAGACAGAGTGGGGATAAAGTCTCGCTTACAGCTATATCTATTCCAGGAAGAGACTTTTACAGAGAGGCAAGTACAATCATATCAATACAGTCACACAAATATAGTATAACACGTAGTGTGTAAGGGGTGAACTGCTTTCTGTTCTCCTGCAGTTAGGCATTTCTCCTCTGTTATTCCATGAAGACTGTTCTCACCACTGCATAAAGAACTGGGAGGACGCTCCTCTAAGAAAACCCACAAAGTATAATCAGGACAGAGAGGAGGCTGACTCTGGTTTCTACTCAGGTTATGTCGCAGAAATGCCAGAAACCGTAAGGATACAGGTAGGACCTCACTGTTTTACTGAAGTTAGACATGAATGTGTGAGAACATGGCATGCAGTGTAAAATGTTGAGTCATCATAATGTCTAGAAAGGTGGTATTTAATGGGATTTGCAAAGCTAGTAATGCTTTGTGAATATTTAGATGTTTCTAAATGTGCAATTTTGCTTGCATTACATGTTTAACAGACCTTACTTACATTGTGCCTTTCTACTAAGGCACTCAAAGCAGTCCCTCATTCACCCAGTCACACACACATTCATGCAACTATGCCTAAACACTTTTCAACATTCACACACTCACACCTTAGTTGCCCAAAGTAGATGCATGGATATGCATCAATTAAAGAAAAATGCTGTTGTCATTTAACTTTTTTATTGCATTTAACAAAACAAAAATTCATTCATCATCATTCATTTTCAGGACCTACTCTACTTAAGTTTGTGTCCACAAACTTGTGTCCACAAACTTGAGTAAGTTATTCAAATGTTCCTCAAATGTTCCCGTTAGTCAAAATTTTAGAGCATTTTCCGTTGAATCTCTAATGCGTCTAAAAGAGTTTTTGGTTCTATGTAGACAACACGTGGCAGACCCGACCACATATTGCACATTTTTAACACTTTTCTTTATTATGGTTATTGTAACTACACGCACACGGCTGCAGTTTTTCAGCTGCCAGCCACACACCCCAACGACAACAACAGCAAACACCCAGGATCCAGTACAGACTTTAATGCAGGGAAGGCGTGGTAAGCTGATGCAGCTCCGGTGTGTGAGCTTCCCCGCAGCGGTGCCACAGACCACGCCCCGTAACATTCTAACACGTGAAAATATTAATTTATTTACCAAAATTATTTCTTAATATTATAATTTCGTATGCCATCTTAGAAACCCCATGATTTTGTGTATTTGGATTAGATTATCTACTGATGTATTTCCTTTTAACAAATCAGTATACTGGCAAAGTGAAGGATCTGGTCAAAGACAATAAAGACCACTTTGGTATGATAGTGGACTCAGTAGAGAATGTAAGAGTGGCTGCATTTAACCTATATGTACCTAACAAAGGTTACCCACAATTCTTTCAAAAACTCACTTCTCTTTTGGCTGAGTAACGTAAAGGGATAATTCTAATACAGCTAGGCTTTAACTCTAAAAGTGGACAAGAACTGAATAGACTACCTGTAGACAAAGAACACATATCCAGAAAAAGTAAGCCATTTTAGGGGGTGAGGGAGAAACACTGGTAGTTGTACTGTCATCCCAGAGAAAGCAATTTTTTTTTTTTTGTCCCATGTATCCCAGGAGAATTTACCTCGAAATTTACCGTAACACACAAAATAAGCTTGGGAACAGATAAGCATTTCAAGTATTGGAGACTAAATGTATCACTACTGAGAAATGCCTTACTTTAACAGGAAATGCAGAAGGATGTGAATTTAAATGATATTCAGTGGTACTCTCCCTCCCTCTAGTCATCTCATGTTTACAACTGCGGTTACAATTGATATTTATATCAACATGAAAACAATTGTATTTGCTGTTATGGACACATTTGTATATACATCCTAAAATTTTTTCTGTTTATATACATTCTTTTTTGTTAACTTTAATTTTATTCTTCTTTTGCACTGAAAGAACTGTTCTAACTCTCAAATGTGCGCTTGAAAGTAGATGTAAGTAAGCTTGAGTTGAAATGGTGTCCCGCAAGATCTTTAGATAGCCTGGAACCATAGTTTGCTCTACTAGAGAAAAGCCTTCTGTAAAGCTGTGGCATCTCATTCATCACTGATTGAAAAAATTGAGAACAACCAAAGCTTTCTTTTCACCACTGTAGCCAGGGTCACCAAGAGTCAGCCAAGCATTCCATGAATTTCTTCACAAATAAATTTTTAACCATTAGAGAAAAAAATATTCATAACCATCTGTAGAGGTATTATTAATGCAGATGGTTACTAGAATAAGTATACTGCAGATACATTTTCAAACTAGTTATCTCCAATCTTCGTGAGTTAACTTCATTAACTTCAATCAAAAGCGTCAATGTGTATTAGATGTCTTTCTACAGTCCTCCTCAAATAAGTCAATAAATTTATCTTAAATATGATCAGTCAATCACTATTAAGGGGCCATTTTGAGCTTGGGGCTTCCAGTCCATGTTCCTGTATACTGTGTCAGACTGCCTGCTAGCATCTTGCACCCTTGTTATGTGCTGGATTGTCTTAGAGGCATCTTTGCACAGTCTGCACCTTGGGGTTTTGCCTCGTGTGGTAGACCGAGCATCTATTGAACTTGTGCTTAGAACTTGTTCCTTTGTTGCCATGACTGTTTTATCTTTTAGTCCTTTTTTGTTCAGTCATTGGTAGGATTTCTCGATATCAGCTATGTTTTCTATCTGCTAGTGGTACATACCATGGGTTTCTGCTGCCTGAGGTATTCACTAAGCAGACGATCAGTTGTTGCCATCTTCCTGATGTACTCATGGATCTTTGTCATTTCATCCTGGATAGTGGTTCTATCACTCTCTAGTCATTGGCCTCTGTAAGGAAGAGGACTCCCTTACTACTGTTTATATTATAATTTGTATAGCACTTTAGGAGCACACCTTTCACTTTATTAAAAGCACCTTATCTAGCACTTTATTTAGCATCGCACTGTAAGCATAGATTTGCACATGAAGAACATTTGCACACAAGAAGTTTAATTATTTATTGAATATTTATTGCGTATTTTAAAATCAGTTGGTAGCCTTTGTTCCAGGTCCCGCACAGCTGCTCCTCATCAAGAAATGTGGTGGTTGTCTGTGAGGAGAAAGGAATTGGGATTGAGAGCAAATAAGGTTTACCAGTAAGGAGAACTAATGCAAGTGTGTGAAAATCTAAAAATAATGTGGTGCAAAGAAGTGACTAAGATGTGATTACTCACCTTTCTTTCCTGTGCCTGTGTCCTCTCCAGGGTGTTTGGGCAAATGTTTCACCAGGAGTCCAGACAGCTTTTAAAGACACCTTTTATAGACAAGCTATCTATCTATCTATCTATCTATCTATCTATCTATCTATCTATCTATCTATCTATCTATCTATCTATCTATCTATCTATCTATCTATCTATCTATCT